TACTGCATCTCTCCTGTTTGGATAAACAGTTGGCAGAGGAAGGTTCTCTCTTCCCATTCCAGGCTTTCTGCTGAAAAACAGCATCCAGCCAGATGTAGAAACACAGGAATTCCATAACAGCTTGTTTTTTTGAGACTTCCAGGAAAACCTCCTGCACTGCTCTCAGCCCACTGGGATGAACCAGTACCACAGATCAGCTGGCTCAGAGCATCCCTGCCTGACCCACACAGCTGGGGCTCTCCCAGTTACAGGCCACACTTTCACAGGAATTCCATTCATTGCAAGAGACTTGACACATTCTGTGCCAGTCACACCATGAAGGACCATCTTAACAGAGCTCTGCTAGAAAAGCAAAGCCTGCAGCAAGCGGGGTTTGTTATCTCCTTATTCCCAGGACCCCAAGTCCCACTGAACACACAGAGGTGTGCTTTTTCTTGGCCACAGCTTTCAATGAGTGGTTCAGGTCCAGCTGAGATAGCTATCTGACCAGCTGCTTTTTTGTTTTTTAATCTTACAGACTATCCTTGGCCCAAATAATACTTTTAATGTAGCGGCAGAGCATCCTGATGCCCTCCCCCATTTGGGAACATGACACCCCTTGGCACTTGTGCACTGCTGACTTCTACAAACAAGCCTCAAAAGCCTATAGAACAGTCCAGGAGAGGTCAGAAGGGAGTGCTGGTTTAATAGGGGAGATAAAGTCACCCTTGTTAATTGTGTATCTCTACCAAAAACATTTACCCTGGATCCTTTTCAAACAGTCTTTCTTTCCTAAAACAAAACTGTTCAAAGCTTAGCATGTTTTCTAAAGCAGGGTGACTGCATTCATGATTTCTGCCCAAACCCTTGCTGTTTATTTATCTTGCATTCATTTCTCTGTGGAGTTTAAAATTTGCCAACACTACACCCCACGGAGTGTCAGTGTCAAGAGTTTAGTGAAGATGAATTTGGTACTCTGGGCCTGGCACTAATGTTGTACTGGACTGACCATTTCTGAGCTTTAAGCATTTTATGCAGCTGAAAGTCACAACAATTGCTGTAGTGAGAGACAGAAAGATTGACTGGGATAATGACACTGGAGTCAGCATTCAGGGAAGCACATTCAAATCAGAGGGGATTTAATGATGGGATGACTCTGGTGTCAGGTCGCATCTCAGAATATTAACAGAGTACTGCCAAGCACTGCCTTAAAATGCTCCCAGAGACTCTATAATCAAGTTACTGCTTAAGATTATAATAGGTTTGGTATCAGCTCGGTTGTCCTCCCTCCCTCCCTCTCCCTTCTCCCCCCTAAAGCAATTATCCTGAGCTGCTCTGAAATAACTTCCCCAGTTCTGGCCAAGTCCCATGGCACCAGCTGACAGGCTCAGCTGATATGCTCTGGGCTGTTGATGCTGCATCCAGACCCCATCACTGAGAGCTCTGCCAAAGCCAAAGTCAGTAATACTGGAATAAATTGATTTTGCTCAGGAGCATCAGGCACTCGTGTCCAGTGCGAGGTGCCCAACAGAAACATGTTTGCTGCCCAGCAGGACTCAGTTTCAGATGGGTTTTGTTCTGTGATGAACACGTTGAGTTTGCACATGTATTTACTGTTATGTCACACAGTACCTTGCACTATGACCTTACTTGAGCTCCCCGAAATAGAAGTAACTTTAAATGAGTAACTACTCCGGAGTTATGTAAGCCACTTCTAGGATTATACTATATGCTCAGAGTGGCAAGGACTACATGGAGAGTGTGAAAGGCTGCGGTGCCCAGCCTGGTTTTGATGGCAGCACTTTTCATCTCACTGAGGCAGTGAAGGGACAGGTGACCCACTCTTGCCCCATGCTAGGGGATACACACTCACTGAGTGACTGGCTTTGGCCTGCTGGGACTTTATGTTAGCTAAACTTAGCATTAGAAGTGTTTCAAAACAGTGAATTATTGACTCCAGCCCCCTGAGCTCTCTGTGCCGGTAGACTACTGATGCACTGATACTGCCTGGGAGGAAGCCAGGATTTAATTCCTTCAGCACAGCACCCCATCTAAAACATATTAAAGCAAACTGTGAATCAGTCATAACCATCAGGAGCAAAAATAACCCTTTTATTTCTTTTATTGTAGACAAATTTAAAAATATTAATCATCTTACTCTGTGCCTCATTAAACACCTATGAAAGCTGCAGCAAAGCCCTGGAGCTCCTACACGTTACTAGGAGCAGACAAACTGCTCCACTTGGCAATGCTCAGCCCAATTCTTCATTTTTCCCTAAACAGAGCCTCTGAGCAAGGCCTGGAATTCTGTGTGGAATCACAGAATCCCAGACTGGTTTGGGTTGGAAGGGACCTTAAAGCTCATCCAGTTCCAACCCCCTGCCACGGGCAGGGACACCTTCCACTAGAGCAGCTTGCTCCAAGCCCCATTCAACCTGGCCTTGAACACTGCCAGGGATGGGGCAAGTGTGGACACAGTTGTCTACTTGTTTTTCCTATTGAGGGCATCTTATGCAAAGCAGTAAGAGCTGCTCCACAGCGCTGGGAATAAGTGCTAGACTTGGCACTCCAGTCCCTCACTGAAAGGGTGATTTTCTAACAGTCATCTCTCTTTGTCCACGTTCTTCTTCAAGTCATTGACCCTGAGATTCAGGCTAATAGAAACTGGCTCCCTCTCACATAAAATCAACAGCTCCAGTAATGATTTCCCAGCTCTCAGTGGTTTTCTACCTCTAACCAAAACTCCTGTTTCATACAGTAGGATGAAGAAGTCTTATTAGGTCATTTGGGCCTTCCAGCTATCACAGGATTATCCTGTGGTATCTTCTAACCAGCTCTGACACCTCTCCAGAAAACTTAGAAAAGACTGAAAGATTACTTCATATTCAGGCTAAAATTCTCTTCATTTAGTTTAATTCCTTGACTTTTCAGCACAGTAAAATGGGAACTGTTAACATCCCTCACTACCCATAGTACCACACTGAACCACACTTGTTCAAGCTTGTGTCCAAGACCTCCTAGCTATATTGTGTCCCCCCACAGACACAAACACAGTGGCAGTGTTCAGATTCTCATCTTTCCCTTTATCCTGCCCCAAACGTACATATTCTTGCAAAGACAAATGAGTTTTCAGGTTGGTTGTGGTCCAAAATATGACCTGTTTGGGTCAGTGAGCAACTGAATGTCACAGTACTCACACGCCTGATGTTCAGTATTCTGCCGTGCTGAGAACACAAACAGCCACTGGTATTCTCTGTGGGACTGGGCTGAGAAACTCGTGATTATGAGCAGATTTATCCAAACTGAACATCTCCTTTATCACCTCCTGCAGCTGCAGTACTCACACGTCAGGCAAAGGCAAATCAGTAAAGGAACACCTTTTGGGGCAGTGGAGAAGCACTGAAGCACGCCACGGCCTGCTCTTAATGAAATTAGTTAATTACACAAGCACTATGAACTTCTGCTGCATAACTGTGTGATTAATCACATCTAATGTCCTCAGTCAGAGAGTGTTTATCAGTGGGGTTCAGGGAGAATTCTTCTCTCTTATATGGGTGGTACAATTGGCTCAGAGCGTAGAGGTTTGCTTCGCTCTGGAGCATCAAGTGCTGGCTGGCAGCGCAGGCCAGGCTGGTGCCTGATTCAGTGTGGCAGTGTCTAGGTAGCAAATGAGATTTCAAGGACAGACAGAAAAGGGATGCTGCAGTCTCATTTTCCAATATACAGTCTAAGCATATATATATTTCTCTGTTGCTGAGCATGAACAGAGTAGACTGAAGTACCAGTAATATACAGCATTGAAGGGAAAATTGCAAGGACCCCTGGATAGCTTTAATTTAGGAAAAGCACTTAGATGAAAGGATTAGTTCTGGCAGTTAATTGCATTTTGGTCTGCCATGACCTAATGACAGAACTTGATTCTGACCTAACTCATCAGCTTTCTGTCTTTAGAGCAAATATTAGATGTCAGCGTTTAAGAATCCTTCTTCAAACACCAGCCTGATTTCAGGGATGGGCAGTTAATCCCAGGTATCCAGTTCCCTGATCTACAGGGGCAGAGACCTAACAGGAACACTTGTTGGGAGTCTAGATGGGTCTGAACATTTCCCATTGTGTGGCCAACCTAAACCCTAATAACATTTCTCCCTCCCCAGCACCCTGAGATATGCAGCCTGGGGGCCAAGTTAAACAGATACTTTCAAGCTCCTCAGTCTCCACTGACAACTTTAGTAACTGGCAAATGCGAAGCCAGAGCATCCATGAAATTGTCTGACACGAGTCAATAGAACAGAGCAACAAAAAGAAAAATACATAAACAGTGAATCAAAGCTGTGGTTCATTTGCTTGTGCCAGGGAAGAATTTATCTACAGAGAAACTGTGTGTGTATAGAAAGGGAGAGCTGCCAAATGTACAGTGTACAGAAGTTTCCACTCCCATTTTTCTCTGGATGAAGAAGCAAAGTCTAAATGGTGAACACAAAGCAGAATGTGCCACATTTGTGATGAAGTTCTCTTCCCCTTGCTCCAACTGCTGTATCTGTCTCTTACCTATTGTTTGGTTTCCTGGAGCAGGAACTGGCTTTGCTTTCTTTCTAGAGCACCACACTCTGAATCCACCATCAAGTGTTGGGGAATGAAGCAGTGCAGCAGTACAAATAAAATCAGTCTAATGAATTATACAACTCTGATGAAGTGCTGATTGTTCAGATTAGGTTGGGGTCATTAGAACATGTATGAAATACACATGAAGCGCCTGATAAACTCTCCCAAGCACACTGTAAGTCACTGAACTGAGACATGAGCTCTGTCACCATCAGCCCGTAAGTAAGGCTGGTTCCAAAGAGATGCTTGTTAAAGGGTCCTGAGCAAAGTGGAGAAGCTCAAAAGCCATTCTCACATTGGCATTCTTGAGAACCAGCCTTAAACTACTCAATATCCAGACCTCTTCCAATGAATTCCTCTGATGGAAGAAACCAGGCTTAACAGAACAGTACTTTTAGGCAGTCTATGACAGAAAGTACCTTTTTTTGTCTCCACAACACTTGCTGCTCCTCAAGGTCACCTTGTGATACAAATTCCCTCCAGGCTTCTCCTACTTTTAACATTGAGGTTGCTCCATGTGATGGAAGTTGCTGCTCTCCCACTGCCTTCATCACCTATAATAAGGGAAGACAGCAGAAAATGAAAGCTGGCTCTGTAACAGCATCAGTCACAGGCCAGCAGCTGAGATGCTGGAAACTGCTGCCCTCTGCTACTGTACTGCTCAGTGATGTTAAAGGGATAGAGGATATAAGAGAGATTTTGCCCTACCCTGCAAGAGAGTGTTCAACACACTCTTGCGTTCGGTATCATTTTAAATTAGAGTCTGTCATAGATGATTTCATCCTTTATTATACTTAAAGAAAAGTCATTGCCTTCAGTTCTGCTTTCAGAAAAGTCAAATTTCTACTGACCTGTGTCAGAACAATGACAGAGAATATCAGTGTATGTACAGGACAGGTGCATTTATATCTAAGATATATATGTAGTGCACTGGAATGTGGTAAGCTAAACAGACAGGGCAACAGGACTCCTGGATTTACTCTTAAATCTCCTTTTACAACACTGAGTTATTTGAATTACCTAATTCAGTTCCCTTATTCACCTGTAAAATGTCGCTGTCTTACAGGATGCTGCAAAGGTAACTTGAAATGTTTTATATATTTCTTTTTAACAATAATTTTGACCATAAATTACACATAGAGACAAAACCCTATGGAGACAAGGTCCATATATCTACTGTTTGTTCCCAACAGGAGGAGAGCTGTTAGCAAGAGCAAAGAATCCATTTTATCTGACCACGAGGCTGTCAAATACCAGCCAGCAGTGCAGGTAGAAGAGGACACCATGGACTTCACACTGGAAGACTCTGTTCTCCTCCCTATGGATCCAAACCTGGAATGCCACAGCCCACCTCCAGATTACAATTCTGTCATTCACTACTCGGCCCCTCCAGTGTAACCAGCCCAACTCAGGGCACCTTACTCCTCACTCGTATTGGATTCTTTCATGCCTCCATGCTTGGATAGAGAGGCTGAGTAAAACCAGGAGGGAAATCTAACAGGACAATGGTTCATATGTTTCTTCTGGCACATCTCTGATGTGAAGAGAAACATTTTAAGAGCATCTTCTTTCCTATCTTCAAAGGCCTATTGCAACATATGCAGTAAATTAACATTCTATTAGAATCGTAAGAGGAGCTGTAACCCAGAACTGCTTCTGCTCCTTCCTGCCCTAGCTGGGACTGCTCACTGGCATCTGCCCATTTACAAGTTCCTTCATTCACATTTAACTCCATAAGAGTCACCAAGAGTCATGTAAAGCCTGTGGTGAAAACCAGATTCATCCTCCTGGTCCTGCACATTTCCTGCAGGGACTGTTTCGTATGATGGTGTAAAGGATCAAAGGAAAACAACAGCCAGGTTTGGGAGAAAATCCAAACCCGAAGCATCATCCTTGACTTGGGATCTCACCTTCTGGAAATGTTACTGAAATATTTTGAAATTCCAAATATTTTGGTTACAATTTGTGATTTAATGATTTCCATTGCTTATAGGATGCATACCTGAAATGCTATGGCACTGAGAAAGCAGACAGCACCCACGTAATCAAGAAAGAGGCTGGTCTTTTAGGCCATCAGGGAATACAATGTGGTTAAATCCATTTCCCTGTGTTCTCTCCTTGTTCAAAGAGCAATTTATTTAGCATACATGCAATAGGGCACCTCGATGGAGATGCATGTGTAATGATTGCAAGTCAAAATCACTGCCTTAAGAACCTTCTTAAGCTTAAATAGCCAGAATTTCCCAGTGCGCATGCACATGTCTGTGTGAATGTGCGTACGCATAAATGCACAGACACCCTTGGCACCAGCAGGGCAGCAGCATTTTTGTTTCCTTTTTGCACACATGCTATTTACTAAAAAAAACCCAAATTAAATTAAAGAAAAAGGGATTTCCTTTGGATTCTGCGGCATATCCGAAGAGTGTGACCCTGGGAATGCTAGCCCATGCTAAACTGCAAGCCTTGGTCCCATGCAGACCCCATGCATACTCACAAGTACTTCAAAAATAAGCAGATAACCCTTGCCATTTAAACCACAACACAAAAATAAGTTGACTTTAGAAGTTGAGGAAGTGAAGAAGTTTCTAGGTTGTAAGCAAAGATGGAGAGACGCTCATTGACAGTCACAGCTATAAACTCCTAAGCCACAAACCCAGATCTATAAATGAGTCTGTACAGTTTCTTCCAAGGTCTTTGCAGCTTTTTGCTTTTCTTCTCCTATTTGACACTGTTTTGACTTCTTCAGAGAAAAAGAATTTTTCTTCATTATTCCAAACTACAGGAAAAAAACCAAACCCAACACTTGCAAAACTATTCTGCTCCCTTGGCAAAGAGAACACTTCTGGATGATGGGTTACAGTTGGCTACACTGAAGTAAACACAAACAAGCCTCAGGTATTATCAAAGGGGGAAGCAAATCTCCAAACCCCATTCCATGTTAACTGTGAACACTACAGCACCTGAAGTAGGGGTCCTTGGACACTGCACTTCTCCTGCTCCTTACCTTCAGAAAATATGTATTAAGGAAATCACGTGCAGTAACTCACTTGTTCATAGTGGACCTGCTCTGTACTTGCTTTATGGTCATTTTTGCACTTCTTTGTATTTCAATACCTATGTATTAGTAGAACTGGTTGTGTAACAGAAGAAACTACTGGGAAGAAATTGATGGGATGAGCCCCAGTGAGCTCACTGGATCAGTTTTTCATCAAGCAGGAACTGAACTGTCTATAGCTCTGATCAAAGAATCAATCACTTCCTTTGGGAATAATTTATTCATATGGCAAAAAGCAAAGAGGTGCAGACAGTTTGTCTGGCTCTGTTGGTAATGGCAGCAGTGTGAGAGGGTTTGTTATTGTGCCTTCTTCTGCAGGAGGAGAAAATGACAACATCTAAAACCTTCACTTATAAACTTTTAACTAAGTACGTACAGGGAAAAACCCTGCAAGTATGCTATGTTTGGAAAAGGAATGCGAAACACTGCTGGGTGAATGGTCTGCTTCTGAGACCTTAAGAGTAAGTGTCATCTCTCCACTTCATCAAGGATGGATGGTAGATGCTTCTTCAAGACCAGAAGAACACGGAGCATGCTTCCTGAATGGGACCCAAGCAGATGCAGCCAGGGCCCCTTCTGCGTCTCAGCAGCATCTATCAGTATGCTGAGAGATGACATGAAAACAGAGCTCAAGGGCTCAGGTTTAACACACTAGTGGCATTGGCAGCCCCCTGAACACTCAGGGCTCCTCTGCAGTGGCAAAATCACCTTGAGCTGTATCAACGGTCACTTCTTCAGAGAGCAAAGGCACCCCTGAACCCACCACAGTGGCCTTTGGGTGCTCTGAAAATGGCCAGTGACTGATATTTGGGCAGCTCTGTTTCCAATGTTTATTCTGAGTGGAAGATTTTTTCCCCTCCTTATAGTAAATGTAACAAGCAAAAGTATTGCCTGAAAAGTATTACTGAACATATGTCTTCTATTTTATTTACTAATATTTTGTTTGTCCTTTTCTCTCCTCCCTTAATTTAATTATGGTTCTTTTCTTACAATGATGTATATAGTTTACCCAGTAGAAACAAATATAGTGATTCATTTATACAGTAAGATTTGTAACATTTTAGTCAAAAGAGATACTCAGACCTAACAGAGTTAAGTATTGTTACTAAACATTTCACTAATGCTTGCAGGCCAGGCGCCAGTTTACAGTACCTACTAGTGCCATTTTATAGCAGTTCTCCCCTCGGCTGTGAGTATCTCCAGCTCTCACTTACTCTCCATGTCAGTTTCAGTTAGGAAACAGGGATCTGGAGGAATCTGTCAGGTTTATCTCATTCCTGGAAGTGTCACCATGCAGCTCATGGTAAGGGTGAGGAGGTTCCACTGTCTCTGTTCTAGCTGGTGTATTGGCCAGAGAAGGGCCAGGCTGTTTAAATGATGCGATGTTTATTGTTTTTGCAGACTTCTCAGGGATTCTCACTCCACTCCTGCTTTATCTAACCTGAGCTCAGTGCTGCCTGGCATTAACATGTACCTTTGTGGTCTTTAAATGGTGCCTACTCCTACTGGTTTTATCCTCTTGTAACCCTGGAGAATTGGGGCAGAGGAACTCAGAGCTCACACAAATGTGCTGTCTCCTCTCCAGCAATCCTCTGCTATGTAGGTGTCTAAGGGTATAAGTGCCTTCATCTGTATGGTATTGCTCAGGCTGGTGTTTTTTGCAGTTTCCTACCGCCTCTTTTCTCTACTCTTCATCTATTTCTTGATATTTGTTCTTCACAGTCCCTTTGGATTCCCTTCCTCTGCCTTTAAAGTAAGATGAGGTGTAGGGCTCATTTCACTCTGCTCTTTCCTGTATATTCTGTGCTTGCAGAGGCTGAACTAGATAATGTAGAGGAAGCTTTTTTCACAAGGAAAAAAGTTGATACAGGTTTGTCTGGAATATCTCTGTATCCTTCCCTGAATGAGAGAAGCTTTTTAATCTACTGATTTTTCAATAGTGTTATCTGGAGCAAAACAAAGGTTGGTGACTGACGATGTGGATCTTATCTTTCTCCTAGTCCTTTCTTAGTGAGGTTCTTCCAGGTTATTCTCCCAAGAAAGGGCTCTTAACCAGGATGCTGGCCCCAAACCATCTACTCAGGGTATCAAGGAAGGTCAGAGAAAAATCTGAAGTCTGAGTAATACTCTCAAAGAAAACCATTGAATGCTGAAGATGGATACCTGTAGGTCTGCCTGCAGCCCTAAACTTCTCTGCTGAAAACATCCCACTAATCCAAACCCTACTCCTCACTTGACCTGCTTGGCAAAGGCCCAGGATAACCCAGAGCATCCAGGTGCTTCTCTCCTTGTATTTATACTCTCGTATATGTACGAATGTTTGCAAGCCTGTAACGAGCCAGTCATCAGTTTGTGACTTACCTTCTCAATGATCCTTCATGTTGAGCGTTGGCACTGCCTTATCATGTCCTAGCTGCTTTATACATTTGGTCTGGCCCTGTCAGGATGTGGTTTCAGGTCAATGGTCTCTGGCTCCCACCAGCACCAACTGGACACCAG